CTACAACCATCACCACCATCGTCACTACAACAACCACCACCATCGTCACTGTCACCATCACCACCATCGTCACTACAACCATCACCACCATCGTCACTGTCACCACCATCGTCACTGTCACCACCATCGTCACTACAACCATCACCACCATCGTCACTGTCACCATCACCACCATCGTCACTGCAACCATCACCACCATCGTCACTGTCACCATCACCACCATCGTCACTACAACCATCACCACCATCGTCACTGTCACCACCATCGTCACTACAACAACCACCACCATCGTCACTGTCACCATCACCACCATCGTCACTGTCACCATCACCACCATCGTCACTGTCACCATCACCACCATCGTCACTACAACAACAACAACAACAACAACCACCACCACTGGCGCCATCCTTTAAATGTAAACTGGAAATGCAAATGAGTTGCATAAATATAAGGAAACATGCGCCCCCCCTTCACGAAGGTCAACAAAGGGATGCACTGGACGCCGTCCTGGACGCCGCCCTGGACGCCGCCCTGGACGCCACCCTGGACGCCGTCCTGGACGCCACCCTGGACGCCGCCCTGGACGCCGCCCTGGACGCCGTCCTGGACGCCGCCCTGGACGCCGTCCTGGACGCCACCCTGGACGCCGCCCTGGACGCCGCCCTGGACGCCACCCTGGACGCCGTCCTGGACGCCGCCCTGGACGCCACCTCCAATCATAACTTTAATAATCACCGATTCAACAAATCGAACGCAAGGAAAGTTAAATTATAACTCGGTTAAGTATGCGGGGCATAACCATAAATTGACCTTACGTCCTCGTTGTCACTGTTAGGTAAACACCTCTACAACAATCACTGCCACCAACACCATTATAACCCAGCCTATCACCATCACCCTTCCTCCATCAGTGCAACATTTCACTATCATTTTAGTTGTGATGATAGTTACACCTTCCTCGTAGCCTGGTGGATAGCGCGCAGGACTCGTAATTCTGTGGCGCGGGTTCGATTCCCGCACGAGGCAGAAACAAATGGGCAAAGTTTCTTTCACCCTGAATGCCCCTGTTACCTAGCAGTAAATAGGTACCTGGGAGTTAGTCAGCTGTCACGGGCTGCTTCCTAAGGGGGGAGGCCTGGTCGAGGACCGGGCCGCGGGGACACTAAAAAGCCCCGAAATCATCTCAAGATAACCTCAAGATAACCCAACCTTCCTTCCCTTTCAGGGATATTCCTGCGCGGGCCCTGAGCCTCTGGCTGGCCCACTAAGTCTTACTTGTTTCTGCTTTACTTGGGAGTATGAGTGTTTACGACTCGTAGCTCGTAGACATGTACGTACCTCGTAGATATTATTACATAAATACTCGTAGTATTTATGTCCATGCACTATCCACTCATAGCCGAGTGGATAGTCCTACGACCTGACACACCTGGGGTCCAGGGTTCGAGACCCATAAAATTCAGGTGAATGGAATGTTTATTTCCACGGAAGCGTGGATGACAATTTATATGACTCGTATGGTCGCTTCAGTAAGATTTTGTCCCATGTGTTTAACAACTTCTGCTCTGTTGAATCTAAGTGGAAATTTTAATGGGTTTGTAACTGTGCACTGTGTTAGATAATGTTCCAGTGGTCTGTTGTGGTTGTAACTGTGTACTGTGTTAGATAATGTTCCAGTGGTCTGTTGTGGTTGTAACTGTGCACTGTGTTAGATAATGTTCCAGTGGTCTGTTGTGGTTGTAACTGTGCACTGTGTTAGATAATGTTCCAGTGGTCTGTTGTGGTTGTAACTGTGTACTGTGTTAGATAATGTTCCAGTGGCCTGTTGTGGTTGTAACTGTGTACTGTGTTAGATAATGTTCCAGTGGTCTGTTGTGGTTGTAACTGTGTACTGTGTTAGATAATGTTCCAGTGGTCTGTTGTGGTTGTAACTGTGTACTGTGTTAGATAATGTTCCAGTGGTCTGTTGTGGTTGTAACTGTGCACTGTGTTAGATAATGTTCCAGTGGTCTGTTGTGGTTGTAACTGTGTACTGTGTTAGATAATGTTCCAGTGGCCTGTTGTGGTTGTAACTGTGCACTGTGTTAGATAATGTTCCAGTGGTCTGTCTGGCATTTCTCCAGTGATGACATTTCCTCTCATCTTCCGGAACCTTTAAGCCTATTTCCCATGCACATGGGTATCCAAGCCTGATGCGATGTAAGTGTACTTCTGTTGCTCTCCTGCTCCCTTTCATCAAACTAAGTGGTTCGTAGTTGGTGGAATTCTTGTACCAACCCGCAGATCCTGATGTTGCAACTGCTGTGTTGTGGTCACTGTACATCTTCTGCATTGCTCTGTTTCTAATTACTTTCTTAATCTGTGATACTGTGTTGTGACAACCTTTCGTTGTTGAGGGGTGCAGGTGTTGAGGGGTGCAGGTGTTGAGGGGTGCAGGTGTTGAGGGGTGCAGGTGTTGTGGGGTGCGGGTGTTGTGGGGTGCGGGTGTTGTGGGGTGCAGGTGTTGTGGGGTGCAGGTGTTGTGGGGTGCAGGTGTTGTGGGGTGCAGGTGTTGTGGGGTGCGGGTGTTGTGGGGTGCGGGTGTTGTGGGGTGCGGGTGTTGTGGGGTGCGGGTGTTGTGGGGTGCGGGTGTTGTGGGGTGCGGGTGTTGTTGGGTGCGGGTGTTGTGGGGTGCGGGTGTTGAGGGGTGCGGGTGTTGTGGGGTGCAGGTGTTGAGGGGTGCAGGTGTTGAGGGGTGCAGGTGTTGAGGGGTGCAGGTGTTGAGGGGTGCAGGTGTTGAGGGGTGCAGGTGTTGAGGGGTGCAGGCGTTGAGGGGTGCAGGTGTTGAGGGGTGCAGGTGTTGAGGGGTGCGGGTGTTGTGGGGTGCGGGTGTTGTGGGGTGCGGGTGTTGTGGGGTGCGGGTGTTGAGGGGTGCGGGTGTTGAGGGGTGCGGGTGTTGTGGGGTGCGGGTGTTGTGGGGTGCGGGTGTTGAGGGGTGCAGGTGTTGAGGGGTGCAGGTGTTGTGGGGTGCGGGTGTTGTTGGGTGCGGGTGTTGAGGGGTGCAGGTGTTGTGGGGTGCTGGTGTTGAGGGGTGCTGGTGTTGAGGGGTGCTGGCGTTGAGGGGTGCAGGCGTTGAGGGGTGCAGGCGTTGAGGGGTGCAGGCGTTGAGGGGTGCGGGTGTTGAGGGGTGCGGGTGTTGAGGGGTGCGGGTGTTGTGGGGTGCGGGTGTTGTGGGGTGCAGGTGTTGTGGGGTGCAGGTGTTGTGGGGTGCAGGTGTTGTGGGGTGCGGGTGTTGTGGGGTGCGGGTGTTGAGGGGTGAGGGTGTTGAGGGGTGAGGGTGTTGTGGGGTGCAGGTGTTGTGGGGTGCAGGTGTTGTGGGGTGCAGGTGTTGTGGGGTGCTGGTGTTGTGGGGTGCGGGTGTTGTGGGGTGCGGGTGTTGTGGGGTGCAGGTGTTGAGGGGTGCAGGTGTTGAGGGGTGCGGGTGTTGAGGGGTGCGGGTGTTGAGGGGTGCGGGTGTTGTGGGGTGCGGGTGTTGAGGGGTGCGGGTGTTGTGGGGTGCGGGTGTTGTGGGGTGCGGGTGTTGTGGGGTGCGGGTGTTGTGGGGTGCGGGTGTTGTGGGGTGCGGGTGTTGTGGGGTGCGGGTGTTGTGGGGTGCGGGTGTTGTGGGGTGCGGGTGTTGTGGGGTGCGGGTGTTGTGGGGTGCGGGTGTTGTGGGGTGCGGGTGTTGTGGGGTGCGGGTGTTGTGGGGTGCGGGTGTTGTGGGGTGCGGGTGTTGTGGGGTGCGGGTGTTGTGGGGTGCGCGTGTTGTGGGGTGCGGGTGTTGTGGGGTGCGGGTGTTGTGGGGTGCGGGTGTTGTGGGGTGCGGGTGTTGTGGGGTGCGGGTGTTGTGGGGTGCGGGTGTTGTGGGGTGCGGGTGTTGAGGGGTGCAGGTGTTGAGGGGTGCAGGTGTTGAGGGGTGCAGGTGTTGTGGGGTGCAGGTGTTGAGGGGTGCGGGTGTTGAGGGGTGCAGGTGTTGAGGGGTGCAGGTGTTGTGGGGTGCAGGTGTTGAAGGGTGCAGGTGTTGTGGGGTGCAGGTGTTGTGGGGTGCAGGTGTTGAAGGGTGCAGGTGTTGAGGGGGTGCAGGTGTTGAGGGGTGCAGGTGTTGAGGGGTGCAGGTGTTGAGGGGTGCAGGTGTTGAGGGGGTGCAGGTGTTGAGGGGGTGCAGGTGTTGAGGGGGTGCAGGTGTTGAGGGGTGGGAGCAGACACAGACCAGCACGAGGGCCGAGCTGTGTGTGGTCGTACCTCAGAGGTCAAGAGTTCCACCACCGACGTCTACCAACTGATTTCAAGGCCACCTTAACCTTCCTGGCGAATAACACCTGTTATCGTGTGCTGGTGTAGGTGACCTGTACGTGGTGTAGTGCCAAGTGTCACGTGGTATTCTGTCTCTGCCACAAACCAAGAATACGACAGGTTTTCCGTCAATAATTATTGTGATGGGGATTCATTCAGTTCTTGTACAGTTGCCAAATACTATAATATTTGCCAACGTTAACATTTAACGTTCATTTGTCTGATGTTTTACACCGCCTTAGCCTCTGTGCCTCTGGTATTTATATCTATTTATATTACTATATCTTGAATATCAATTAGCCGTGTCCTATATTTACAGAAGGAACGCACATAAGTGTAACGTTACAATTAAGAGAAAACATGCAACTGTTCCCCACAATATCTCCCCCGGGGTACTATGTATACTTTCATTTATCTTAAAATGTGTGTTTCAAAGATGATAAATGTTATAATACTCAACAATGCCGAGAAAGCTCGGGCTTCATGTTAATTCACTGTCCATAGAGAGGCATCAGGCGGTGACAGCGGGCAGGGCACGTTTCCCCGCGCTAATAGTTTTCCCACGGTGATGCTCGGCAGCGTAATGCTCACAATGAACCCGCGTTCTCATTGGCTGCTGGGGCTGTGGGCGGGGCCTAGCCGCACGTCGGGGACCTTTCTCGATTCCGATTGGTGGCGAGGCTGGAGATGTTGTTGCTACCAGTGGAGCATCAATGAAGTCAAGGTATATGAGGAAGACGTGAACGTCTCGTACGCTAGTACGTAACGACCGAGCGTTCAGAGCGGGTGTGTGACGCTCCCTCACGAAGTTTTGTGACTGTCAGTACAGAAGTGATTGACAACTATCTGTCACGTTAGTAACGGTGATAGCACATACAGCCAACACGTAACACGCGACTTTCTTGATTAACTAAGCTGTTGTGACGAACATCTGTGCACATCTGGGTTGTGTGGGCGGTGGTGCGTGTGTGGTCCCGACACCTGACCTGACCCTAGTGCCGCCACCAGGCCTTCGCTACACCGTGACCTCGCTGCACCGTGACCTCGCTGCACCGTGACCTCGCTACATCGTGACCTCGCAATGAAGTCCATCAACTGGGAGAAGTCGTGCCCTCGTGGTGGAGGCGGCGTGAGGCCCTCCACCGTGGCGGTCAGGTCATCGAGGGGTCAGCCAGAGGTGAGGCAGGAGCGGCAGGAGATACGGGAGTACCTGGAGAAGCTGCGGCAGCTTGTGCCCGCCTGCCCCAAGGCTGGCAAGATGTCCCGCCTGGCCGTGATCCAGCACGTGATCGACTACATCGTGGAGCTGCAGGAGACCCTGGTGCACCACCCCGTCAACACCCTCCTGGCCGCCACCGACGACCACATCACCAGCCTCACCACCTCCCTACACAACAACCCGCTCTTCGCTCTACAACAGCTCAGTGCTAACAAAAGCTCGCCTCCCGCATCGTCGGCACCAACAGCAGTCAAGAGCAGCAGCAGCAGCAGCAACAAGACCACCACCACCACCACCACCAAGACCAGCAGCTGCAGACGACCACTCGGTGTTCTCTCCTCCCTAAAGAACCACAGAAATCAATGAAACAATATTCGAATTCGATCATTTACAAAGCCCCGGACTCTCCCACTCCCACCTACCAAAGAGTTAGAAATAAAAAAAGTGAAATGTGTTTGGGGGTTGTGGAAGGTGTGAGATAACAGATGGTGTTGACCAAATACGTCGCCTCGGCCTGCCACCTTGACTACCAAAAGGGGGGGGAGGGGCCCCACGCTGCCCCTGACCTGTCAGACGGCGTGCTGCCCATATTGGTAACAAGACCTGCCGCCACCCGGAAGCCCCTCCAGCTTCTCCCCCACACTGGTGCCCACAGTCCCCCCCCACCCACCCCACTCCTGCTCCCACACTCTCCTCCCACACAACCCGTAAAGGCGGTGTTTTGAGGTTGAGAGGTTTGTGGTGCGTGACAGGTCAGGAGCCGCGGGTGGCGGCGCACCTGTTCACCCCGGGCACTCTCCTCACACCTGCACCGCTATCTGGCCTCGCTTGTCGCCATGTACACCTGCTCTCCCACACGTGTCTCCAACCCCCCCATACCTGGCAGCGCCCTTAGTGTCATTCACACACGATCTCCACATGTGAGCCTACACACCTGGCCTCCGTACGAGTCATCAGCCACACCTGCTCCTCAAAGCGTATAGTTTTACATCCGCATCTGCACCGGTGTGTTTCCAAACCCGGTTTCCACAGGTGTGTTTCTAAACCAAGCACACTTGCATCGGTATTATCTAAGCAGCTGCAGACAACCATTATCAGGGAGTGATAACCAACTGCAACGCCGTGACACCTGCTTCCTAAACCATTAACGACAGCTGAAACACCTAGCCACAGCTGCACCAGATGTGGGGAGTACTGAAGGCACAGGTGTGCGTGTCGCGAAGCAGCTGCATCGATTCCTCCGTCATCAGGTAAGACCAACAATCTTACCTCTTTTTTTTCCCCTTCATCAATGTCCCGCTTGCAGAATCCTGCACTTTGAAGTTTTCACCAGTTACCTAAAGTAGACTAAGTGCTAAAATATATATTGGCCTGCTACAGTGGTTAAATATATTTGTTGATATTAAAACATTAGCCTATTATATGTTATTATATATATTACTTTATGATTCCCCATGTTGACGTGGTCTATACTCTCTCTCTCTCTCAGCCTGCGGTCAAGAATTTGACAACCTCCCTGTCCTACGAGCTCCTCAGTCAATAGCTGCGCCTTCGAGGTGGTTATGGCTCACCACCTTGACAGTTGTGTCACCATCTGGTTCGCCAGATCTCCATCTGGGCCACCGTGTCAACATCTGGGCCACCGTGTCAACATCTGGGCCACCGTGTCAACATCTGGGCCATCGTGTCAACATCTGGGCCATCGTGTCAACATCTGGGCCACCGTGTCAACATCTGGGCCACCGTGTCAACATCTGGGCCATCGTGTCAACATGTGGGCCACCATGTCAACATCTGGGCCACCGTGTCAACATCTGGGCCATCGTGTCAACATCTGGGCCATCGTGTCAACATCTGGGCCACCGAGTCATCGTGTGTAACACCAGGGTTACCATCTGGGTCACATTTTATGATGCCAGGGTCACCACCTATGGTCACCATCTGTGACAAGTGCCTCACCATCTGGAAGACTATTTATGGCATCAGGGTCACCACCTGGGCTGCCAGTTACCATCTGGGCCACCAGCTACATGGAGCTTCAGGAGGTCACCGCTAGGACTGTGTGTGTGGGTTTTAAGAATTTTATATAGAAAAACAATAGGCATATATATCCTCGACTGTGTTACCACAGAGAGTTGTAAACATGTTCACTATTGGTTGCTCGTGTTAATGTAGCACTAATGGGCTGTACAGTCCATCACTCTGGCGAGTGACAAGGGCGCAGTGTACTGGGGGTGGCTGGAGTCAGCTACACCTGAAGGACATTATTCCATTGATTGGTGTTGTGGTGAGGCGGGCACGCGGTGTTCACACCTGGCCCAAGACCACCGCCTTACTCGCCTGCATGTTGCCAACTCTGCCCGCCAGCTGCCCTTCACCGTCAACCTCATTATTTTCACCACCACATTATCTTTGCACCCAAATTCCCCCTATAATTCAAAATATTTCATAAACTACTATGTAAAGATATATTATTGACACGAGGATGTAGTAAAACACAGAACCTTGAATAACCGGCAAGACTGTTGTGCGAGCTGCTGCAGCATTCATTAAACATTAATGGCCGCTGGGGACTAAAGGCCACAACACAACAGCTTGCGTAGTCTCACGCCTTGAATCATTGACTAACAAAAACCGTTAAGCAGAGTGCTGGAGGACATCTGTCCAATAATCGGCAGGATCAATTATTTAATATGTGGCCAGCTGCTACTTAGTGGAGAGAGGCAGCCTGCCAGCTCCTGGCCTCAGCTGTCCCGCGTGTCGCCGCCGCCCTCATTCACCACTTAACTCGCTTCTCACCTCCCTTAATTTAGGCTAATTATGTCTTAAAACTAGTAGGCCTATGCAGAAGTCTTGCATTAGATACCAGTAAAAAGTAGGGGCTCGCCTTGAGCAGTGTATACACACAGGGTTAGGAGAAACTTGGGGCATGTGAAGGGTGTGTAGCGACGGGGTTGTAAGGCAGCGGTTGAGGCGGGGGACATCCGGCTGCGGGTGTGGGTGCCGCCGCCACGTGCAGGCCGGCTGTGGCAGCTGTCCTGTGTGTCGCCACACACCCGTCCGCCCAGCTGTCTGCACGTCGCCCTAGCCACCCTGCCAGCCGCCTCTACCACTAACAACGCAGATAACCCCGTGTGTGTCTGTGCTATATTACTGTGACCAGGTGCCGGGGCCCTTCCTGCTCCCCCCCCCCCACCCCACCCCCCCACCTTGCCTGCCTCACACGTGTCAGCTTGTGTTACCAACACCGGCATCTCTGCCACAGCTGCGCCATCTGCGAAGCACCCATCTGTCCCACGCCGGAGGAGTGCCCAAAGCAGCTGTGTTAGTCTTCATTTATGTCAATGTTAATTATGTGCGCAGGTTGACTGGCTGGGAGAGACTTAGCCGCGGCGGCTCCATAAACCTCGCGCGCACCACCTGTCTCTCCCTCTCCCAACACACCCGTCCTTTTTTCTTCTAACATGTTGCCACTGAACTTACTCCAACAAAAAATTCAAACTGTGGATCAAATTTGACATAAAATCCAACATGTGCGCGTGGGGACTGCAAAAGAAGTGAGCGGTGGTGCAAGTTGGCAACAACGATCAGGAGGAGAAAGCTTAAGGTTTGGTAAGGGGCGTAACCCACCCCTAACAGCCTGGTAGACCGGACACTCTTCCTAAACCTATTATTAGTCCAGCTGTTGTGTTATCAGCCCTTTACATGTCCGGAGTAGATGCGAGTGTGTGGGTATGTTCCTCACCTTGGTTGGTGGGCATGTTTGATGACGTGTATACGAGGGTGGGCAGGGCAGCTCACAGTCATGTGTGGCGGGAGTGTGTGTGGAGTCTGCGTGCCCGGCCTTGTGGGCCCACCTCTGGTATGTTGGGGGGGGGGGGTCCTGTTGCTTGACATCTCGCCTCGTGTCACGCGGGCTGTCACTCATCACCACCACCCCAGTGTCACGCGGGCTGTCACTCACCCCCACCCCAGTGTCACGCGGGCTGTCACTCACCGGCCCACCCCAGTGTCACGCGGGCTGTCACTCACCCCCACCCCAGTGTCACGCGAGCTGTCATTCACCACCACCACCCTAGTGTCACGCGGGCTGTCACTCACCCCCACCACCCCAGTGTCACGCGGGCTGTCACTCACCCCAACCCCAGTGTCACGCGGGCTGTCATTCACCACCACCACCCCAGTGTCACGCGGGCTGTCATTCACCACCACCACCCTAGTGTCACGCGGGCTGTCACTCACCCCCACCCCAGTGTCACGCGGGCTGTCACTCACCCCCCCACCCCAGTGTCACGCGGGCTGTCACTCACCCCCCCCACCCCAGTGTCACGCGGGCTGTCACTCACCACCACCACCCCAGTGTCACGCGGGCTGTCACTCACCACCACCCCAGTGTCACGCGGGCTGTCATTCACCACCACCCTAGTGTCACGCGGGCTGTCACTCCCCCCCCCCCCAGTGTCTAGTGTGGCGCGGGCTTGCTGTCATCTCGTGGGATGTGGGTTGTCACATCCACACCCAAAGTGCCCACCATATCCTAACACCCAACCCAACCTATCCTAGTCGAGCTGTTGCTCAACCTTACACGACTACCATCGGTGTTCTGCATAACCCATCATAACCATATTACTGCCACCCCCTACCTTCCCCCACCACGACCACCTCAGCCCACCACAACCACCTCAGCCCACCACAACCACCTCAGCCCACCACAACCACCTCAGCCCACCACAACCCTTCACATTCATGCCCACCAAAACAAGTGATCCTGTGAACTTCCGATTTTCTTCAGCTCGTCTCAGGTCCTCCCCCCAACACCTGCCCGAGCCTCGCTACCTGAGGAGTAAAGTGAGGGGGGAGAATGGGTGTGAAGGGAGGTGAGGGCGGGCCAGGAGCGGCCACCCGGTGGGCCCGCCTACACAACACCGCCTCTCCCGCCCTCTTACTGGCAGACAACTCCTACTGGACAAGCGTCCCAGGTGTAAACACAGGCGGACATAATGTCAGTACCTATAAATACCATTTCTCTTGCAAGATTGGTTAGTACAATGTGCTCTAACGGATTTATATGGATAAATATATGGATAGACGAACGTGAGGACACTTTTCATCGCATCACTTTTCCGTGCAGCTATGATGAGCTGGCAAGCTAAGACCGCATTGATGTTACTAGCACACTGGAGAGTGTAATATTTCACAAGGTTTATAGCTTTATATATATATATATATGTATATGTATCTATATGTGTGTGTGTGTGTGTGTGTGTGTGTGATATAGTCCTGTGCCATGATTGGAGAGAAGCTTTAGATGTAGGCTCAGTATCACCAAACAAGAATGATGCAAGCAATAGCCTCATCAGCTCTTGTTAGTACTGGTATGTAGTCGGTATGGAATGAACTTGTGTATATATATAGTTTGTACAGTCACTGAGATTAAGATATAATAGTCTTAAGAGAAATAAACTATTTTTCCATCAAAGAATATTTCATTTGATCCTGGTCTTATAAAAGCATGAGTCCTTAAAGGTGTTTTTTAAAAGTAAATGGATTGGCAATTTTGAAAAATTATGCTTTTTTTTTTAGGTAATTTATTATCGGAACATTCATTCTGTGGGGCGTTTAGTGGCACCCCCCCCCCACGTCCAATTCTGTGGACCACATATACCCATCCCGTGGGCGGTGGTGGACCAGACACCCATCCTGTGGCCGGTGGAGGACATCATACCCATCCTGTGGGCGGTGGTGGATCCCCACACCCATCCCGTGGGCGGTGCTGGACCCCCACACCCATCCTGTGGGCGGTGGTGGACCTCACACCCATCCTTTGGGCGGTGGTGGAACACACACCCATCCCGTGGTAAGTGATGTACCCCACACCCATCCCGTGGGCAGTGATGGACCCCCATACCCATTCCTTGGGCAGTGATGGACCCCACACCCATCCCGTGGGCAGTGATGGACCTCACACCCATCCCGTGGGTAGTGGTGGACCCCACACCCATCCCGTGGGCAGTGATGGACCCCCATACCCATCCCGTGGGCAGTGATGGATCACATACCCATCCTGTGTGCAGTGGTGGACCCCACACCCATCCTGTGGGCAGTGGTGGACCCCACACCCATTCCTAGGGCAGTGATGGGCCCCACACCCATCCCGTGGGCAGTGATGAACCCCACACCCATCCCGTGGGCAGTGGTGGACCCCACACCCATCCTTTGGGTTGTGATGGACCCAAACACCCATCCCGTGGGCAGTGATGGACCCCACACCCATCCCGTGGGCAGTGATGGACCCAAACACCATCCCGTGGGCAGTGATGGACCCCACACCCATCCCGTGGGCAGTGATGGACCCAAACACCATCCCGTGGGCAGTGATGGACCCCACATCCATCCCGTGGGCAGTGATGGATCACATACCCATCCTGTGTGCAGTGGTGGACCCCACACCCATCCTGTGGGCAGTGGTGGACCACACACCCATCCCGTGGGCAGTGGTGGACCCCACACCCATCCTGTGGGCGGTGATGGACCCCACACCCATCCCGTGGGCAGTGGTGGACCACACACCCATCCTTTGGCCTGTGATGGACCCCACACCCATCCCGTGGGCAGTGGTGGACCCCACACCCATCCTTTGGGTTGTGATGAACCCCATACCCATCCCGTGGCAGTGATGTACTCCATACCCATCCCGTGGGCGGTGGTGGACCACACACCCATCCTGTGGGCGGTGATGGACCCCACACCCATCCCGTGGGCGGTGGTGGACCACACACCCATCCCGTGGGTTGTGATGAACCCCACACCCATCCCGTGGGCGGTGATGGACCCCACACCCATTCTCTGGACTGTAGTGGACCCCACACCTAAACTGTGGGCAGTGATGGACCCCACACCCATCCCGTGGGCGGTGATGGACCCCACACTCATCCCGTGGGCACTGATGGACCCCACACCCATCCCGAGGGCGGTGGTGTACCCCACACCCATCCCGTGGGCGGTGGACGACCCCATATCCATCCCGTGGGCAGTGATGGACCCCACACCCATCCCGTGGGCAGTGAGGGACCCCACACCCATCCCGTGGGCGGTGATGGACCCCACACTCATCCCGTGGGCGGTGATGGACCCCACACCCATCCCGTGGGCGGTAATGGACCCCACACCCATCCCGTGGGCGGTGATGGACCCCACACCCATCCCGTGGGCAGTGATGGACCCCACACCCCTCCCGAGGGCGGTGGTGGACCCCACACCCATTCCCTGGACTGTAGTGGACCCCACACCTAAACTGTGGGCAGTGATGGACCCCACACCCATCCCGTGGGCAGTGATGGACCCCACACCCATCCCGTGGGCAGTGATGGACCCCACACCCATCCCGTGGGCGGTGGTGGACCCCACACCAATCCCGTGGGCGGTGGTGGACCCCACATCCATCCCGTGGGCGATGATGGACCCCACACCCATCCTGTGGGCAGTGATGGTCCACACACCCATCCTGTGGGCGGTGGTGGACCACACATCCATCCCGTGGGCGGTGGTGGACCCCACACCCATCCCTTGGGCAGTGGTGGACCCCACACCAATCCCGTGAGTGGTGGTGGACCCCACACCCATCCTGTGGGCAGTGATGGACCCCACACCCATCCCGTGGGCAGTGATGGACCCCATACCCATCCCGTGGGCAGTGATGGACCCCATACCCATCCCGTGGGCAGTGATGGACCCCATACCCATCCCGTGGGCAGTGATGAACCCCATACCCATCCCGTGGGCAGTGATGGACCCCATACCCATCCTGTGGGCAGTGATGGACCCCATACCCATCCTGTGGGCAGTGATGGACCCCATACCCATCCCGTGGGCGGTGATGGACCCCATACCCATCCCGTGGGCGGTGATGGACCCCATACCCATCCCGTGGGCGGTGATGGACCCCATACCCATCCCGTGGGCGGTGATGGACCCCATACCCATCCCGTGGGCGGTGATGGACCCCATACCCATCCCGTGGGCGGTGATGGACCCCATACCCATCCCGTGGGCAGTGATGGACCCCACACCCATCCCGTGGGCAGTGATGGACCCCATACCCATCCCGTGGGCAGTGATGGACCCCATACCCATCCCGTGGGCCGTGATGGACCCCACACCCATCCCGTGGGCTGTGATGGACCCCATACCCATCTTGTGGGCAGTGATGGACCCCACACCCATCCCGTGGGCAGTGATGGACCCCATACCCATCCCGTGGGCAGTGATGGACCCCACACCCATCCCGTGGGCAGTGATGGACCCCACACCCATCCCGTGGGCAGTGATGGACCCCACACCCATCCCGTGGGCAGTGATGGACCCCACACCCATCCCGTGGGCAGTGATGGACCCCACACCCATCCCGTGGGCAGTGATGGACCCCACACCCATCCCGTGGGCAGTGATGGACCCCACACCCATCCCGTGGGCAGTGATGGACCCCACATCCCGTGGGCAGTGATGGACCCCCCAGACCCATCCCGTGGGCAGTGATGGACCCCACACCCATCCCGTGGGCAGTGATGGACCCCACACCCATCCCGTGGGCAGTGATGGACCCCACACCCATCCCGTGGGCAGTGATGGACCCCATACCCATCCCGTGGGCAGTGATGGACCCCACACCCATCCCGTGGGCAGTGATGGACCCCATACCCATCCCGTGGGCAGTGATGGACCCCACATCCCGTGGGCAGTGATGGACCCCATATACCCATCCCGTGGGCAGTGATGGACCCCACAACCATCCCGTGGGCAGTAGTGAACCCCACACCCATACCGTGGGTGGTGGTGGACCACACACACCCATCCTGTGGGCGGTCGAGGACCACACACCCATCCCGTGGGCGGTCGTGGACCCCACACCCATCCCGTGGGTGGTAGTGGACTCCACACCAATCCCGTGGGCGGTGGTGGACGACACACTCATCCTGTGGGCGGTGGTGTACCACATACCCATCCTTAGGGCGGTGGTGGACCA